GTAGCTGTTTCAATAGACACTTATTTACTTCGCAGTTTGTATTCTACTTCTAATGACCCGAACTGTTTCTTTCCTAATTTGCTATACTGATTAGAGACTGGAGTTTGTAAGTTTATTCTTCTTCTCGAAGAAGCTTCATCAAATGAAACTGAACTAATTAGCTTAGAGATTTCAAATAATATATGTTAGGGGCATTTATGCATATTGGCAATAATATGGCACATGTAAATATTATAGGATTCTGATTGTTAAAGAATATTTTGCACTGAGGACGTCGCATTAAATACATTATTTCCATTCGATAACTTAGCAGTAACTGCATATATATTGCTTTCTTCTACTAGAAAGGGCGATACGTGCCAGGTGCTGAAATAGACGAGTACTATGTGACATCCAGCTCTTTTTAGGCCTCGCTCCCGAAAAAAAAAGCCAAAAAAGACGCTTTTTGGGGTTGCGTGACTTTGTTAGGTTAAAGAAAAACTTTTGGAAAATTCTCATTGTCTTATTCCTTGAAGATGCTCATAAGACTGTTATTAATTGTTCTTTCCATTGTCATAACCCTGGAAACAATATTTTTAAAGTACAGCAAATAGTAGCAATAGAAATTCCATCGGCCATCTAATGACCACGGAATGCATCATTCTCAAATGCTTAAACATTGAGCCTTTACACCCCAACATCAGTCTGTATATTCTCCTTACTGTTCTTTATACATTTCCTAAGGTGCTGACAAGGAGAATATGTTTAATAATAAAAAGCTTCCCTAGTTGGTGATCATTTCTTGTATTCTCGTCACCTTATTGTTTAAATCAGGGGTGATATCATAAGGAGAAAGTAGAGGCTGGTCACTCTTATAAAGCAAAGTGTTAAAGAGGATTAAGTCAGTTTAACTCCACACGTCAATTTACGACTTGAAAACGTAAGCCAGAATTCGAAGTCAGTAATGCGTAACATGCAAAAAAAATCAAAACGAAAAAGAAACCTAATCGGCCTTGATCTTCTACAACAAAAGCCTGACTGCGCTGCGGTTCAGATGGTCACTCACCTACAAAGGGAGGGAACATCCATGAAAACCTGACATAGATCGTGTTCCGTGACGTCAATTTACGACTTGAAAACCTTAGCGAGAACTCGAAGCCAGTAATGCGTGAAAACACGCAAACAATCAAAACAAAACAGAAACCTAATCGGCTATGATCTTCTACGACAAAAGCGTGACTGTGTGTTGATAGCCCGCTTTTTAAATACATTTAGCTTCGGTTCAGAAGGTCACTCACTTACATCCTGTTTTTCTTAGCCAACGTTAACCAGTAACCCCCCCCCCCCCCCCCCTTCCCCAGCCCACCCTCTTAGGTGAAACGGAAGCGAGGGAATGTCTACGCTAACCTGACACAAATCGTGTTCCGTGACGTCACTTTTTTTGAAAGAAAATACATAATGACTTTTTATTGGTAAACCCCTTTTGCCGATTCTTTCGTTAATTCTGATTGGCGAGAGTTGGTAATTTATTTTCATGCTAACGAACAAGATGTTCAGCAAAATACTTTTATTGACAACTTTTCAGACAACAGTAATCTGAAAAGATCGGGATAGATTGGGGTAGAGACACTTCAAGAAGAACAGCAGAAAGCCATAGATATGTTTTTAGAAGGTAAAGATGTCTCCGTTTCGATATCAACTCGCTATGGAAAATCTTTATTACATCAAGCAGCGCCAGTGATCGATCGCCTCTCTTCTCTAGAAGAAACCGGTCACTATATTTATTGCGCCGCTCGTCAAAACCCTCAGGTGCACTGTCTTAATGTACTTTGGCCAAGAGGATTGTCCGCCTTCAACTTTCGGTCTCTTTGCGAATGGTGTTACGAAGCTATGAAATTAAAGCTAGTTGTCTCTTGCAGCGATTCTTTCGACTAAGAAAAGAGTCGCTCTTTCTTCACGCTTGCAGCGTAACTATCTCTAAAAGAAATCTGTAAAAACCTTCATCCAATGATCCAACTTTTTTCGACGATCGTGGCACTGTTTACAAATGCAAACTGAAACCGCGTGGACGTTGAAGTCTAGTTTCGTAAGCGCGATGCTAATCGAACATCGACCTTTTCTTACTCTATACCGAAATCGCTTATAATGTTTTTCTTATATCCTAAAAGCAAAGTATATTTTTGAGCTCGGACGCTGAATTGCAAATTTACCCGAAAAATGGAAAATGAATTCACTTCAATATTGTTGTTTATCTTGATAACCTTCACGTGCCACTTAACAAAAATATTATCAAGCGACATTATTTTGCATAAACTGACATAAACTGACATAAACTGACATAATCCGACATCAAGTGTCAGGTTTGCGTAAACGCAGTTCCCTCGCTTCCCTTTCACCTTGCGGCTACACGTAGACTATACTTTTTCTCGGAATTTCAAACAATAGCTCTTTCAGGCGGTGTTTACAAGCAATCTTGTCGAACGCTGACAATGGAGTCCTTCTTGAGAAACCTCACCAAACAAGTTACTTGCTCAATTTGTCTCGAGACCTTCAAAGAGCCGAAATCATATCCTGTTTTCATACGTTCTGCTGTGAATGTTTGGAAAAACACATAGAGTAAGCCAAAGACATGTGGTCGGTGAGTTGGATCTGAATTTATTAGAAGGAGAACAGGTCGGCTGTCTTCTTGGAATTGCAGTAGATACGAAAGGGAATATTGCCGTAACTGACTGTTATAAACACTGTGTTTACATATTCGATAAAAATGGTAAATGTCTGGGAAAAATTGGAGCTAAAGGGCAATTTAAATTTCCATGTGGCATGACATATTTGAATGATGACGAGATTTTGATTGCAGACACAAATAACAGCAGAATACAACAAATAATATCCAGACAGGAACTGTTGTGAGAACGTTAGGAAAAGCAGGTGTAAGAATAGAAGAGTTTTATGTCCTTAATGATGTTTGTCTGGATGAAGAACGTCGCATTGTTGTAACCGAGTTTAAGAATAACAGGATACAGGTGATGTCACGTAAGGGAGAGACTATTTCCATCTTGGGAAACATCGACCCAGAAAAACTAACAGAACCAGTAAGCTGCTTGCCTTACGAAGACAACAAGTTTTTCGTCTCCGAGAGAGCACATCACTGCATTTAGGCTTTCGACAAGTCAGGAACATTCTTACACAAGTTTGGCAAACAAGGCAATCAAGATGGACAATTTAACTACCCGACTGGTTTGCTTATAGACAGCTCCAATAATCTTCTGGTGTGTGATCGGTTAAATAATCGAGTTCAGCAGTTTTCTCAAGACGGCCGCTTCACTAGAAAAAGTGTCACTCATTTACCTAATCCGCGTAGATTAGCAACAACACCAGATGGACGTATTCTCGTGACTAACCTTAAAGAAATTCTCATATTGAGGTAGCTGTTTCAATAAACACTTATTTACTTCTCAGCTTGAATTCCTTATGTGCAATAATCGGAGACTGGAATTTGTAAGTTTGTAAGTCCACTGTTAACGATATTTTGCCCACAAAAAACCCCTTACAACGTCATAACCCTGGAAATAATTTTTCGAAGTACGGCGAATAGTAGCAATAGTAGAAATGTATCATTCTCAAAATGTCCAAACATGAACCCTTTACACCCTAACATCAGTCTGTATATTCTCCTTACTGTTCTTTATACATTTCCTAAGGTGCTGACAAGGAGAATATGTTTAATAATCAAAAGCTTCCCTAGTTGGTGATCATTTCTTGTATTATTGTGACCTTATTGTTTAAATCAGGGGTAGTATTATGAGGAAAAAAAAGAAACCTAATTGGCCATGATCTTCTCCGACAAAAGCGTGACTGCGTGATGACAGCCCAGTTTCTCAATACAATTAGCTTCAGTTCATAAGGTCACTCACGTACATCCTTTTTTTCTTAGTCAACGTAAAGCAGTAACCTCCCCCACCCTGAAGTGAAACGGAAGAGAGGGAAAGTCTACGTAAACCTGACCCTAATCGTGTTCCGTGACGTCACTCCTTTGCAATAAACTATATAATTACTTTTTATTGGTAAACCTCTTTTGCCAATTCTTTCGTCAATTCTGATTGGCAAGAGTTGGTAATTTATTTCCATACTAACGAACAAGATGTTAAACAAATTGCTTTCATTGTCATCTTTTAAGACAACAGCGATCTGGAAATATCGGTATAGATTGGGATAAAGACATTTCCAAGAAGAATAGCAGAAAGCCATAGATATGTGTTTCGATCGAAACGATACCTCCGTTTCGTTACCAACTCGCCATGGAAGATCTTTGTAAAATCAAGCATCGCCAGTGATCGATCCCTATATTTATTGTGCCGCCCGTTAACGCTCTCACAGAAGACCAGGTGCACTGTCTTAATGTACTTGGGCCAAGAGAATTGTCCGCCTTCAACTTTCGGTCTCTCTGCGAATGGTGCTACGAAGCTATGAAAATAAAGCTAGTTGTCTCTTGCAGCGATTCTTCCGACTAAGAAAAGATTCGCTCTCTTCACGCTTGCAGTGTAACTATCTCGAAAAGAATCTTGATCCAATGATCCAACTTTTTTCGACGACCGTGGCACTGTTTGCAAACAGAAACCACGTGGACGTTGAACTCCAGAGCGCGATGCTAACCGAACATCGTCCTCTTCTTATTCCGTCACTCATAATCTTTTCCTATATCCTTAAAACAAAGTACATATTTGAACTCGGAGGCTGAATTGCAAATTTAACCGAAAAATGGAAAACGAATTCATTTCAATATTGTTGTTTATCTTGATAACCTTCACGCTAACACGTGGCACTTCGCAAAAAAGATATTATCAAGCGACATTATTTTACATAAATTAGAGTGACTTCCCGAACACGATTAGTGTCAGGTCCCTCGCTTCCGTTTCACCTTGCGGGGGAGGGTACGGCTACAGGTAGGCTATGTTTTCTCGGAATTTCAAATAACAGCTTTTTCAGGGTGTGTTTACAAGCAATCTTGTCGAAGGCTGATTATGGCGTCCTTCTGGAAAAACTTCACCAAACAAGTTACTTGCTCAATTTGTCTCGAGACCTACAAAGAACCGAAAATTATATCGTGTTTTCATACGTTTTGCTGTCAGTGTTTGGAAAAACACGCGAGAGTGAGTCAAAGACATGGAAGATTTCGATGCCCCGAGAGTCAGGCAGAAATCCACCTGACACAAGGAAATCGCTTCGAAGCGTTACCAACCAGTTTTTTTCACAACAGTTTGTTGAATATCCTTGCCGTTCGACAAAGTGGCGATGGAACAAACGTCACTTGTGGCAACTGTAAGAGGACCAGCTCCAATGTCCATTACTGCTTTGATTGTGCTCGATTTATGTGCTATGAGTGTCTGAACGCACACGAAATCATGCGCGACGCATTCGAAGGACACAGAGTCATGCCTGTTAGAGACTTCCAAGATCAAGATTACGAAGCTTTGTTAAAGCGACAGCCCTTTTGCACCAAGAAGTACCACGAGCGAGAGATCACGAGATTTTACTGTCTCCAGTGTCAGTGTTGTGTTTGCCATCTTTGCATCGTGACGGATCATAGAAGCCATGAGGCTATTTTGCTCGACGAAGCGGCGGACAACGAGAAAGGAAACATCATGGTGGATGCTGCAAAGAGCCGGACAAGGGAAAACGATCTAAAGAAAACGATTCGACAGTTTAACCACACAGCTTCCGAGCTGCGAGACAATGCTCAACTGGCTAAACGTGGAGTTTCGCAAGCAGCCGAGCAGAAGATTGCAGAGATTCGAGAGTGCGAGCGACAAGCCATTGAATCAATCGAGACAACGTGCGTGACGAGACTCCAAAGAATCAACACGGCTCGGGAGGCTGTAGAATCTCTGATGAAACAAAACAATAAAGTCGCCGACTTTGCCGAAAACTTGGTACAGAAAAGCTCGAGCTGGGACTTCATGCAAAACAAGCCAAATTTGAAACAGAGATTTGAGGAGCTTCGAGGAATCCAAGCTGCACAACACCATCAGACCTCCTTCATCAAGTTTTACCCCACTCCTGTTATGGGCTTCAACTTGGGCGACATCATCACCGAAGACATAGCAGACGCAAGTTGGTCCACTCTAGAGGGACTGGATCAAACTTTTCAGGCTGGTTTAGAAGCAAAGTTCATTTTATCCCCCAAAACACCTGATGGAGAAATCAGTAACCAGCCTGATCTCAAACAGCAAATTGAAGTTCTCATACAACCAGCCGAAGATGTCACGCAAGTCACTGTTTGCAACACAGAAAACGGTAGATTCGAGGTCAAATTTATACCCAAAGTACCTGGTGCTTACAGCATTGAAGTGAAGATTAATGGAGATACACTCGCCAACTCTCCGTTCACTGTGGTGGTGAAGGAGCGTGAACTTACTGTGGTCGGTGAGTTGGATCTGAATTTATCAGAAGGAGAACAGGTCGACAATCTATTTGGAATCGCGGTAAATACGAAAGGAAACATCGCCGTAATTGACAATGGCAAACACTGTGTTTACATATTCGAAAAAAATGGTCAATGTTTGAGAAAAATTGGAGTTAATGGATACCCATCTGGCGTGACATATTTGAACGATGACGAGATTTTGATTGTAGACACTAAGAACGGTAGAATACTACAAATTAATATCTTGTCAGGAACTGTTGTAAAAACTTTAGGAAAGGTAGGCGTAGGAATGGGAGAGTTTTATTTCCCAACGGATGTTTGTTTGGATGAAGAACGTCGCATTGTTGTAACCGAGTTTTCGAGTAATAGGGTACAAGTATTGTCAGGTGAGGGAGAGACTATTTCCATCTTTGGAAACATCGGCCAAGAAAAATTAGTACTACCGATGAGCTGCTCGCCTTACAAAAACAAGTTTTTCGTCTCTGATAGCGAAGATCATTGCATTAAGGCTTTCGACAAGTCAGGAACATTCTTACACAAGTTTGGCAAACAAGGCAATCAAGATGCACAATTCAACCACCCGTGTGGTTTGCTTATAGACAGCTCTAATTATCTTCTGGTGTGTGATCAGCAGAATAACCGAGTTCAGCAGTTTTCTCTGGACGGTCGCTTCACTGGTAAAAGTGTCACTCATTTACCTAATCCTCGTAAAATAGCAGCAACAATAGATGGACGTATTCTCGTGACTACCCGTGAAAAAATTTTCATCTTAAAGTAGCTGTTTAAATAGACACATTTACTTTGCAGGTTGTATTCTACCTCTAATGAACCGAACTGTTTCTTTCCTAATGTGCAATAATCCGAGTTCGCTACGTTCGAGTTTGCTACATATTCGCTACTAACATGCGGAATTCGCTGCCTCTGTTAATTCACAGTTCTAATTTCTCTTTTTAACCATAAACCACACGCAATATCTGTAATTCATTCTCCCGAATGCGTGATTACCCTTTCTAGGAGTCAGTTAAACTGATCATACGCAAATTGCCTTGTAGTTTACTTCTTAATTATAATCAAAGCGAGATTTTAGAGGATAATTGTAATCAAAGTTACGTAGTAAGATTTTCAAGTGCTGTGTGTAGTAGCCTAGCTAGATTCGGTACCTTAGACTCCATTCGTTTACATTACTCTGAGTAGATATCTATTTAGCGTGCTTATAGACTCTGAAATATATAGTTTAATAATAAAGAAAGTACTGTTAAATTAATTATTTGACTCGTCTTTACAGGTTTTCTGCTTTCTCTCTCTTGTCAATGCCGCTGTTCCATTTTTAGCGATGCGTGGGCTCGATGATAACCACGATAATGTGCTAGAACGTGGCGCTCATTTAAGGTTGACTAAGGCAGATTTCTTTAACATAAGATGTTGGATCTAAAAAGTCGTGGAAGTAAAATGATAGAATGGTACAGTAAAGTAAGTGGCGAACATGTTGCGGACTCGAACGTAGCGAACTCGACAAGTAACGAAACTGGCTATAGTTATTCGACTGTACTCTGTTCTGTAGTAAAGCACACAGGAAGCGGCTAGAGCAAGAAAGAGGTGTAGGGGAAAATACGAGACGTAGTCAAGCGTTTCTCCCTACTTCTTGAGTGCAACTGAGAGTATAATCTGATTGGTGGAATAAGTCCCTTTACACTCCCTTTATACTTCTGAGGACTTCCACTACTTATCATTACTGTGTTACCTTGTGTTGCTATTACTGTGATCTACTTAACTCTTTCCAGGTCTATCTTGATCCATTATGGATCCCTGCTGGAGGCACACCACGTTCCGATTCGCTTGCGATCTTGATCATCCTCAAAGTACAAACGTGCATTACTCGCACTGGCTACCCAACCACCACCTTCAATTACAGACATAACATAAGATTGGTCAATCTTTGGTGGTAGTAAATCTTTTAAGCTAACGAACATACTCAGATAATATGATGCCCATCAAGAATGAATACAAGCAATTCTCTTTAACATGAGTCTTTCAAGGCTCGTGTTAAAGAGAATTATTCGTTTCGGTGCATTTTGTAACTGAGATTGAATAAAGCCGATAAAAGGAATGGAAAAGGGAAACTCAGAGAGAAAAATTTTGACAATGCTAAGTTTCGTTTGATTTTGGTTCGATGGGATCGATGCAAAATTTTACAAAAAGAGTAGATTGTAGTAGATTGTCTTGGAAACTAAGACTTCACCCAGTTCTAACCCTTTAACTCCCAGGAGCTAGTACCAAGACATAATTTCTCCTTACGATATCAATACAACAACACTGATGTCAAGCAGGCGAATGATAAGAATAAAGAAAAAATGACCTTTAAGGGATTATTACGTGAACCAACAACAAATTCTCCGAACTAACATCATGAGGTTTGAATGGTACACAGTAAGGACGTGAGCATTTGGCGTAACTGTGATATTTTATGATGAAATGACCAACTTTTACCTTCTTGCTTCTTGCTGGTTACATGAGCTTTTCGAAAATTACTTGCCTCCAAAGTCCAGAAATTTCTGAAAAAAATATTCTTGGCTTCTATAATCTTTTCGATTTGTAAGTACTCAATCTTCTTCGGTTTTAGATGACCAGCTCCTTTCCTAGATAACTTTAAGACAACTTTCACTGTTATAAAGTGTCATTTTTATGCGACAACCTCAGTTACAAAGGCCTGGTCTAAAGAATATACCGTTGCTCAATCTGAATAAACAGTTTTTCTCCATAACTTCAAGAGTTTTAGAGAATAAACGACACTTTTTAAAGACATGTTTCGACAATTCTGTTATCTTCAGTTTTGATTTACACAAAGTACAAAGTTGAATTTAAAAGTGTATCACACAATGCTGATTGGACAAAAACAAAACAATAGCAACAGAACAATGTATGCAATTGACAAGGAAATTAACATGATGAAGTTGAGGATTAGGTGTGGGTTGTTCCCACTGGATGTGGATAGATGCGTGAGCACTTAGTCAGTGATAGGACCTCTCGCATTTTTAGACATCTACATAATTCTACACAATGTCGCATTCTCTGTTCTGATAAGTGTTTTAGCATCTTAGATCACGCTTCCACAACTTTCCAACTCAAAATCGAAGAATTCTGAGGAATTGATATTATAGTTTAAATAACATTCAACCGTTCCTTCCAAATATTTAACACTCAGTTTTAAAATAGCCTGAAATTCAACTTTCCACCATAGAAGGCCATATTGCTAGAAAGAATGAGCGCCAACCTAAGAGTATCCCCTTCTCACCTGGTCGGAATCCCACCACATCTTGCCCCAGAGGAGGGGGAGATGTGTGTAAAAAACCTCGCAGACCATTTTTTTCGACCGATAAATCTGAAAAAGAGAATAGTTTGTTTTCCTACTAGCCGGCGGCAATATCTAAAACTAAAGGCTCACTGATAGCTCCAGTGAATTCTCTGTGTTCGATAAGATACTCACCATGACGATACCGGACGATAACCGATCGGCTTTGCTTTTCAAATCAGATTAGCTTCCGTTTTATTGGTCAGGGCCCATTTGTATAAAGGGATAAATCGCTACCCAGCAGATAAGTGATAGCAAAACGTATAGCGTTATCCACCGGATAGAAATTTTATCCTTTGAAGAGTGTTATCTGACATTCAAACAACTGGGGCTAGGAAGTTATAGCTGACATCGATGTTTCTTCATAGCATCCTACTCAACAATTCGTTGAAGGAGTATCTGCCATCAGTCTATCAAAACTTGCTCAGTTTATCTAGATTCCGACACGTATGGGCGACCAAAAACTGTCCCATGTCTCTACAATTTTAGACGTGGGTTTACTAAAAAACGCACTAGCGATGAACGAAAACCTTCTGATGCTCGTCATATCAGGCGGAAATTGGTTCGCCATAGAGACAATACCTGATTTGTATCGCATCGTCGTTTCCAGCTCCTTTCCTCTTCTCGCCATGCTAGTGTGGGATATGGTGAGACTTTGGAAACCATGTTGGGTATTGTATTGTAAAAGTTAAATCAAAGCGTTGCAGCTCAATTCTCTGACAAAATGAACGCACAGGAAGCTCACTAATAAGTCTACTGTTAACGATATTTTGTTCACAAGAAAATCCTTACAACGTTACAATACTGGAAACAATTTTTCGCAGTATGGCAAAAAGTAGCAGTAGAAACTCCATCGGCCATATAATGACTACAGAATGCATCATTCTCAAATGTCCAAACATTAACCCTTTACACCCTAACATCAGTCTGTATATTCTCCTTACTGTTCTTTATACATTTCCTAAGGTGCTGATAAGGAGAATATGTTTAATAATCAAAAGCTTCCCTGATTGGTGATCACTCCTTGTATTCTCGTGACCTTAATGTATAAATCAGTGGTGATATTGTAAGGAGAAATCAGATGCTGGTCACTCTTTGGGGTCAAAGGGTTTAAGAGGAATAGATCAGTTTTACTCCACACGTCAATTTACGACTTGAAAACTTAAGCGAGAATTCGAAGTCAGTAGTGCGTGAAAACATGCAAACAATTAAAACAAAAAAGAAACTCAAGCGTGACTGGGTGATGATAGCCCAGTTTCTAAATTTAATTTATTTAGCTTCAGTTCATGAGGTCACGCACGTAAATCCTGTTTTTCTTAGCCAGCGTTAAGCCGTACCTCCACCCCCCAACTGAAACGGAAGCGAGGGAACATCTACGCAAACCTGACACAAATCGTGTTACGTGGCGTCATTTTTTTTTTGTGCAATAAAATATATAATTACTTTTCATTGGTTAGCCCTTTTTCCTATTCTTTCGTCAATTCTGATTGGCGAGAGTTGGTAATTTATTTTTATAAACGAACAAGATGTTAAACAAAATGCTTTCATAGTCAACTTTTCAGACAACAGCTCTCACAGAAGACCGAGTGCACTATCTCAATGTACTTGGGCAAAGAGGCTTGTCCGCCTTCAACTTTCAGTCTCTTTGCGAACAGTGCTACGAAGCTATGAAATAAGAGCTAGATGTCTCTTGCAGCGATTCTTTCGGCTGAGAAAAGAGTTACTCTTTCTTCACGCTTGCAGCGTAACAATCGGCCTAAAAGAAATCTGTAAAAACCTTGATCCAATGGTCCAACTTTTTTCGACGACTGTAGCACTGTTTACAAATGCAAGCAGAAACTGCGTGGACGTTAAAGTCTAGTTTTGCGAGAGCGATGCTAATCGAACATCGTCCTCTTCTTATTCTATACCAAAAATCGCTCATAATCTTTTCCTCTATCCTGAAAACAAAGTTTATATTTGAACTTGGACGCTGAATTGCAAATTTACCCGAAAAAGGGAAAATGAATTCACTTCAATGCTGTTGTTTATCTTGATAACCTTCACGTGCCACTTCGCAAAAAAATATTATCAAGCGACATTATTTTGCATAAACTGACATAATCTGACACAAGTGTCAGGTTTGCGTAAACGCGGTTACCTCGTTTCCGTTTAACCTTGCGGGGGAGGGTACGGCTACACTTAAGCTATGTTTTTCTCAGAATTTCAAAGAATAGCTTTTACAGGCTGTGTTTACATACAATTTTGTCGAACGCTAACAATGGAGTCCTTCTTGAGAAACCTCACCAAACAAATCACTTGCTCAATTTGTCTCGAGACCTTCAAAGAACCGAAAATTATATCGTGTTTTCATACGTTTTGCTGTCAGTGTTTGGAAAAACACGCAAGAGTGAGCCAAAGACATGGAAAATTTCGATGCCCCGAGTGTCAGGCAGAAATCCACCTGCCACAAGGAAATCGCTTCGAAGCGTTGCCAACCAGTTTTCTTCACAACAGTTTGTTGAATATCCTTGCCGTTCGACAAAGTGGCGATGGAACAAACATCACTTGTGGCAACTGTAACAAGACCAGCTCCAATGTCCATTACTGCTTTGATTGTGCTCGATTTATGTGCCCTGAATGTCTGAACGCACATAAAATTATGCGCGACGCATTCGAAGGACACAAAGTCATGCCTGTTAAAGACTTCCAAGATCAAGATTACGAAGCTTTGTTAAAGCGACAGCCCTTTTGCACCAAGAAGTACCACGAGCGAGAGATCACGAGATTTTACTGCCTCCAGTGTCAATGTTGTGTTTGCCATCTTTGCATCGTCACGGAACATAAAAAGCCATGAGGTTATTTTACTTGACGAAGCAGCTGACAACGAGAAAGGAAATATCATGGCAGATGTTTTAATGAGCCGAACGAGGGAAAACGATTTGAAGGAAACGATTCGACAGTTTCACCACACAGCTTCCAAGCTGCGAGACAATGCTCAACTCGCTAAACGCGGAGTTTCTCAAGAAGCCGAGCAGAAGATCGCAGAGATTCGAGAGCGCGAGCGACAAGCCATTGAATCAATCGAGACAACGTACGTGACGAGACTCCAAAAAATCAACTCGGCTCGACAGGCAGTAGAATCTCTGATGAAACAAAACAATAAAGTCGCCGACTTTGCCGAAAACTTGGTGCAGAAAAGCTCGAGCTGTGATATCATGCAAAACAAGCACAATTTGAAACAGAGATTTGAGGAGCTTCGAGAAATCCAAGCTGCACAACACCATCAGACCTCGTTCATCAAGTTTTACCCCACTCCTGCTGTGGGCTTCAACTTGGGGACATCGCCACCGAAAACATAGCAGACGCAAGTTGGTCCACTCTAGAGGGACTGGATCAAACTTTTCAGGCTGGTTTAGAGGCAAAGTTTATTTTATGCCCCAAAACACCTGATGGAGAAATAAGTAACCAGCCTGATCTCAAACAGCAAATTGAAGTTCTCATACAACCAGCCAAAGATGTCACACAAGTCACTGTTTGCAACACAGACAACGGGAGATTCGAGGTAAAATTTATACCCATAGTACCCGGTGCTTACAGCATTGAAATGAAGATTAATGGAGATACACTCGCCAACTCTCCGTTCACTGTGGCGGTGAAGGAGCGTGAACTTATCGTGGTCGGTGAGTTGGATCTGGATTTATTAGAAGGAGAGCAGGTCGGCCATCTATTTGGAATCGCGGTAAATGCGATAGGGAATATTGCGGTAACTGACATTTGTAAAAACTGTGTTTACATATTCGATAAAAATGGTAAATGTCTGAGAAAAATTGGAGTTAAAGGGCAATTTAAAGACCCATGTGGCGTGACATATTTGAACGATGACGAGATTCTAATTACAGACACAGTTAACAGCAGAATACAACAAATTAATATCCAGACAGGAACTGTTGTGAAAACTTTAGGAAAAGCAAGCGTAGGAAAGGTTTATCGCCCATTGGATGTTTGTTTGGATAAAGAACGTCGCATTGTTGTAACCGAGTTTTCGATTGGTAGCATACAGGTGATGTCACGTGAGGGAGAGACTATTTCTATCTTTGGAAACATCGGCCCAGAAAAATTAAATAACCCAAAGAGCTGTTTGCCTTACAAAAACAACTTTTTCGTCTCCGATAGCGGAGATCAATGCATCAAGGCTTTCGACAATTCCGGAACATTCTTACACAAGTTTGGCAAACTAGGGAATCAAGATGGACAATTTAACTACCCGAATGGTTTGCTTATCGACAGCTCCAATAATCTTCTGGTATGTGATCAGAACAATAATCGAGTTCAGCAGTTTTCTCTGGACGGTCGCTTCACCGGTAAAAGTATCACTCATTTACCTTATCCTCGTGGAATAGCAGCAACACCAGATGGACGTATTCTCGTGACTACCCTTACAAAAATTTCCATATTAAAGTAACTGTTTCAATAGACACTTATTTACTTCGCAATTTGTACTCTACTTCTAATGGCCCGAACTGTTTCTTTGCTAATGTGCAATAATCGGAGACTGGAATTTGTAAGTTAATTCTTCATCTCAAAGAAGCTTTGTCAAATAAAACTGAACTAATTAGCTTTCGGATTTCAAATTTGGTTTACTGGTGGCGTTTATGCATATTCGCAATTATGTAGCACATGTAAATATTAAAGGATTCTGATTGTCAAAGAATATTTTGCATTTGATACGTCGCGCTAAATACATTATTTTCTTTCGATAACTTGGCAGTATTTGCATATTTATTGCTTTCTGCTATTAGAAAGGGCGACACGTGTTAGGTGCTGAAATAGAAGAGTACTATGTGACATCCAGCTCTTGTTAAGCCTCGCTCCCGGAAAAAAAAAAACAAAAAAAAAAACCCCCTTTTTGACTTTGCGAGGTTGAAGGATAACTTTTGAAGTTCTTATTGTCTTATTACTTGAAGGCGCCTGTAAGACTGTTCTTAATTGTTCTTCCCATTGTTGCAGTGAAAAAGAGGAAATAGGAAGAGGATGTTTCTGAGACATCAAAATCTGCCTTTATTTGGCAGATGGTCATTGCAAAAATAAATTCTAATGGACCAAAATATATTCAACAAATAAAGAAGCCTTGACTGTGCTCTGTTCTATAGTAAAGCAACTCGGCTAGCAAGAGGTATCAATATCGAGCGTTTCTTATTAGCCATGCTCTAACTCTTGAGAGTGAATGACCATTTCCAACGTTCTCAACGATGAATGCAGTTATGAGTACTGTTTAACAATTTCACTACCCCAAATTCTGCAATCTGATCGGCTACGCTACTCGTTATCTAATCCTTGATAGACGGTGAGTAAAGTGACAAGGCTTAAAAAGCTCTTGTATCTTACAACCGCAATCATATTGCAGGATTTATGATAAACCACTGATAGATTTAAATAAATACTGTTTGCCCTCTGACGAAGGGCTAACGTTCGAATCACTACTTACTATTACTGTGTTACCTTGCGTTGCTACTGCTGTGATCTGCTTGACTCTTTCCAGGTCAACCTTGATCCACTGTAGATCCCTGCTGGAAGCACAGCACGCTCTGATTTGCTTGCGATCCTGATCATCCTCAAAATACAAACGTGCATTACTTGCACTGGCTACGCAACCACCACCTTGATATACAGACATAAGATTGGTCAACCTGTGGGTGTGGTAGATCTTTTAAGCTAACGAACATACTCAAATAATGTGATGCCCATCAGAGATGAATGCCAATAAGAATGTGAATTTCTATCTGAACAAGCATGAAAATGAGACGCTCATGTTATAGAGAATTATTCGTTTCAGTACATTTTGTAAATGAGGTTGAATAAAGATAAAAGGATTGGAAAAGGGAAATTAAGATAGAAAATTTGACAATACTGAGTTGTGTTTGATTTTGGTTCGATGGAGCGATGTAAAATTTTACAAAAATCATAGTTCGAGATGTTTTGGTTTTTGTTCCTATTTCGATCCTTGCCATGTAAATAGAATTGCCGGTAACCAAGAGATTATAAGCAGTTTATATTCTCGTGCTGGTAACAAAGTACTAAAAGAGAAATGAAAATGCATACCTGGGGCCATTCTGATGAGGCACTGAAGGCGCTGTTTGGGAGTTTGTAATCAAAACTAAGACCAAGAGAACTTGAGCAAGATCCTGGCAAAAGTAAAACAGCAAATTAAGTCCTGACTTTTTTTAAAAAGAAACAGTACTGGGTTACTGTGCGTTATTGAACAAAAATCGTTCTCAAAATGTGGAGAACTGTCTAGCCTTAGGGCCTCTTATCGTCAATTCGGTTTTCATCACCAGCAAGGGTGCTAAGATGTACCTTTTCTACGAACCCGTTTTGCCAGTTTGCACAAGCATGAGGTTTTCCCTTTCACTCCCAAGATCTAAATATAAATTCTATTTACTGCCTTCTATACGTTTTTGAGTCACGTTGGCTGTAAGAGTTTGTTGTTAAATCAAACAATTTTCCCTACTTGGTATTTTCCATTCTTTTCACCACTTTCCTGCCCGAAAATATATTAATGTCGTATGGCCCTTGACGATAGATTGTCTATGAAGCTACGACTTCGCCCAATTTCAACCTTTTAACTCCCAGGAGTGACCAAGACAGAATTTCTCCCTACAATATCAATATAATATCAAGCAGACGAGCGATGAGAACAATCTCCTTTCCTTGATAACTTTAACACAACTTTCATTCTTGTTGAGTGTCATTTTATGCCATAACCCGTTTCCAGGCCTGGTTTGAATAACATACCGTCTCTACTCGATTTATATCATCCTTTTCATTCGACTGCTTTAAAATCGTCGCATCCTTTGATTCAATGAGCAAACAACAAAATTTTATTTTTTATCCGCGTTAGTATGAAAGATCAAGTTTCCAACAGTTGTATATATTTGAGGATAGACCGTGGGGAGGTTTAGGCGCGTAAAAGATAGGAAAGAAAAATAAATATTGAAAATCTCTAAATGCTTTAAGAATTCGCTGATTAATAATAGAAAATACTATTTCGAAGTACCTCTACATACCCAGACAGACCAACACGAAATGAGAAAAAACTAAGAGTTAGTTACTTTTTAAAATTGGAAACATCGGTTGACTCTTGGGCGATGTTCCCATATGATATGTAAAGACGTCTTTCCTTTTTCTGTATAATTTTGACACCAGAAATATTGAACCCGTGAACAGTGAATTGAACTTGGCTGACTCACTCATCAACTTTCTTTCATTTTAAGGAATTGATCTTATAGCTAGTGTCAAATAACAATAAACCGTTCCTTCCAAATAGTCAACATTCAGTTTTAAAATAGCCTGAATTCAACCTTCCACCATCGAAAGCCATATTGCTCGAATGAATGAGCGCCGCACTGAGAGTAATCCCTTCTCACCTGCGCGACGTTCCGCCTCATCCCAGAGGAGGGGGAGTGTGGGGGATGTTTGTAAGAACCCTGCAGACCATTTTTTTAGACCAATAAATCTGAAAAAAGAAGAGTTTGTTTTCCTACTTGCCGACGGCAATATCTAAAGTGAAGGCTTACTAATAGCTCCAGTGAATAAACTATCTTAGATAAAATACTCTCCATGACCGTGACGATAGAAGACGATACCCAATCAACTTCACTTTCAAACTCAAATTAGCTTCAGTTTTATTGGTCAGGACTCAGTTATATAAAGGGTGGATAACACTATTAAACTGATAAATCGCTATCCAGCGGATAAGTGATAGCCCAGTTTCTAAAATATAATTAGTTTCAATTCAGAAGGTCACTCGGCTACATCCTGTTTGTCTCGAATTTTACACGGTTTGCTGTGAGCGTTTAGAAAAACACGCAAAAAAGAGTCAAAAACAAGGAAAATTTCGACGCCCCGAGTGTCAGACAGAAATGTATATACCAAAAGGAAATTGTTTCGAAGCGTTGCCTAAATCGAGGGCGGACTACAATGACCACTGAATGCATCATTCTTAAATGTTTAAAACATAATCAACCCTTTAACCCCTAAAAGTGACCAGCATCTAATTTCTCTTTATAGTATCACCCCTAAATAAGACATTAAGATTATGAGAATATTGAAAAGAAGAATATTCAAAAAGCAGAGGAGCTCTTGATTGTTAAGCAAAATCTCCTTGTTAGCGCCTTAGGAAATGTATAAAAAACAGTATGGAGAATATGCATACTGATCTTAGGGTGTAAAGGGTTAATGAAATGAATCAGCTTAAATCCAAAATAACGTAAGCGAGAAATTGCTTCAAAGCGTTGCCTTAATCAAAGGCGGACTACAATGAACACTGAATGCATCACTCACATGTTTCAAACATAATTAAGAAACAGATCACCTTAAATCCACGCGTCAATTTTTGACCTGACAACGTAAGCGAGAAATCAGTAATGTGTGAAAACATGCAGACAATCAAAACGAAAAAGAAATCTAATCGGCCATGATCTTCTACAAAAAAAGACTGACTGCGTGATGATACCCCAGTTTCTAAATATATTTAGCTTCAGTTCACAAGGTCAATCAGTTACATCCTGTTTTTCTCGGAACTTCAAACAATAGCTTTTTCAGAGTGCGTTTACAAGCAATCATCTCGTATGTTTACAATGGAGTCCTTCATGAGAAACCTCACGAAACAAGTTACTTGCTCAATTTGTCTCGAGACCTTCAAAGAACCGAAAATTATATCGTGTTTTCACACGTTCTGCTGTGAGTGTTTGGAAAAACACGCAAGAGTGAGCCGAAGCCATGGAAAATTCCAATGCCCCGAGTGTCAGGCAGAACTCCTCTTACCAGAAGGAAATCGCTTCGAAGCGTTGCCAACCAGTTTTTTTCACAACAGTTTGTTGAATATCCTTGCCGTTCGACAAAGTGGCGATGGAACAAACATCACTTGTGGCAACTGTAAGAGGACCAGCTCCAATGTCCATTACTGCTTCGACTGTGCTCGATTTATGTGCTCCGAATGTCTGAACGCACACGAAATTATGCGCGACGCATTCGAAGGACACAAAGTCATGTCTGTTACAGACTTCCAAGATCAAGATTACGAGGCTTTGTTAAAGCGACAGCCCTTTTGCACCATGAAGTACCACGAGAGAGAGATGACGAGATTTTACTGCCTTCAGTGTCAATGTTGTGTCTGCCATCTTTGCATTGTGACGGATCATAAAAGCCATGAAGTTATTTTGCTCGACGAAGCGGCGGACAACGAGAAGGGAAACATCATGGCGGATGCCGTAATGAGCCGAACAAGGGAAAACGATTTAAAGGCAACGATTCGACAGTTTCACCACACAGCTTCCGAGCTGCGAGACAATGCCCAACTCGCTAAACGAGGAGTCTCGCAAGCAGCAGAGCAGAAGATCGCAGAGATTCGAGAGCGCGAGCGACAAGCCATTGAATTAATCGAGACAACGTGCGTGACGAGACTCCAAAGAATCAACTCGGCTCAGGAGGCTGTTGAATCTCTGATGAAACAAAACGACAAAGTCGCCGACTTTGCCGAAAACTTGGTACAGAAAAGCTCAAGCTGGGACATCATGCAAAACAGGCACAATTTGAAACAGAGATTTGAGGAGCTTCGAGGAATCCAAGCTGCACAATACCATCAGAACTCGTTCATCAAGTTTTACCCCGCTCCTGCTGTGGGCTTCAACTTGGGCGACATCGCCACCGAAGACATAGCAGATGCAAGTCGGTCCACTCTGGAGGGACTGGATCAAACTCTTCAGGCTGGTTTAGAAGCAAAGTTCATTTTATGCCCCAAAACACCTGATGGAGAAATAAGTAACCAGCCTGATCTCAAACAGCAAACTGAAGTTCTCATACAACCAGACAAAGATGTCACACAAATCACTGTGTATAACGCAGAAGACGGTAGATTCGAGGTCAAATTTATACCCAAAGTACCCGGTGCTTACAGCATTGAAGTGAAGATTAATGGAGATACACTCGCCAACTCTCCGTTCACTCTGGCGGTGAACGAGCGTGAACTTACTGTGGTCGGTGAGTTGGATCTGAATTTATTAGAAGGAGAACGGGTCGACAATCTATTTGGAATCGCAGTAAATACGAAAGGGAATATTGCCGTAACTGACTATATTAAAGACTGTATTTACATATTCGATAAAAATGGTAAATGTCTGAGAAAAATTGAGGTTAAAGGACAAGTTAATGGCCTACATGGCGTGACATATTTGAACGATGACGAGATTTTGATTGCAGACACAAATAACGGCAGAATACAACAAATTAATATCCAAACGGGAACTGTTGTGAAAACTTTAGGAAAAGTAGGTGCAGGAATTGGAGAGTTTTCTTTCCCAACTGGTGTTTGTTTGGATGAAGAACGTCACATTGTCGTAGCCGACTGTGATAATAGAAGGATACAGGTGATGTCACGTGAGGGAGAGACTATTTCCATGTTTGGAAACATCGGCTCAGAAAAATTAAAACTACCATGCTGCTGCTTGCCTTACAAAAACAAGTTTTTCATATCCGATTGGGATGATTATTGCATTAAGGCTTTTGACAAGTCAGGAACATTCTTACACAAGTTTGGCAAGAAGGGCAATCAGGAAGGACAATTTGACTTCCCCATTAGTTTGCTAATAGACAGCTCCAATAATCTCTTGGTGTGTGATCTGTTAAATAATCGAGTTCAGCAGTTTTCTCTGGACGGTCGCTTCACTGGTAAAAGTATCACTCATTTACCTGAACCTCGTGGAATAGCAGCAACACCAGATGGACGTATTCTCGTGACTACCCCTGAAAAAGTTTTCATATTAAAGTAGCTGTTTCAATAGACACTTATTTACTTCGCAGTTTGTATTCTACTTCTAATGACCCAAACTGTTTCTTTCCTAATGTGCTATACTGATTAGAGACTGGAGTTTGTAAGTTTATTCTTCTTCTCGAAGAAGCTTCATCAAATGAAACTGAACTAATTAGCTTAGAGATTTCAAATAATATATGTTAGAGGCATTTATGCATATTCGTAATAATATAGCACATTTAAATATTATAGGATTCTGATTGTTAAAGAATATTTTGCACTGAGGAAGTCGCATTAAATACATTATTACCATTCGATAACTTAGCAGTAACTGCATATATATTGCTTTCTTCTACTAAAAGGCGATACGTGCCAGGTGCTGAAATAGACGAGTACTATGTGACATCCAGCTCTTTTTAGGCCTCGCTCCCGAAAAAAAAATCCAAAAAAGACGCTTTTTGGGGTTGCGTGACTTTATTAGGTTAAAGAAAAACTTTTTGAAAATTCTCATTGTCTTATTATTCCTTGAAGATGCTCATAAGACTGTTATTAATTGTTCTTCCCATTGCCATAACCCTGGAAACAATATTTTTAAAGTACAGCAAATAGTAGCAATAGAAATTCCATCGGCCATCTAATGACCACGGAATGCATCATTCTCAAATGTTTAAACATTGAGCCTTTACACCCTAACATCAGTCTACATATTCTCCTTACTGTTCTTTATACATTTCCTAAGGTGCTGACAAGGAGAATATGTTTAATAATCAAAAGCTTCCCTAGTTGGTGATCATTTCTTGTATTCTCGTGACCTTAATGTGTAAATCAGGAGTAATATTGTAAGGAGAAATCAGATGCTGGTCACTCTTAGGAGTCAAAGGGTTAATTAGGGATTGATCATCTTTGCATCGTGACGGATCGTAAAAACCATGACGTTAATTTGCTCGACGAAGCAGCGGACAACGAGAAAGTAAACATCGTAGCGGATGCTGTAATGAGCCGAAGAAGGGAAAACGATTTCAAGGAAACGATTCGACAGTTTCACCACACAGTTTCCGAGCTGCGAAACAATGCCCAACTCGCTAAACGCGAAGTTTCGCAAGCAGCAGAGCAGAAGATCGCAGAGATTCGAGAGCGCGAGAGACAAGCCACTGAATCAATCGAGAAAACGTGCGTGACGAGACTCCAAAAAATCAACTCGGCTCGGGAGGCTGTAGAATCTTTGATGAAGCAAAACGACAAAGTCGCCGACTTTGCCGAAAACCTTGGACAGAAAGCTCGAGCTGGGACATCATGCAAAACAAGTACAATTTGAAACAGAGATTTGAGGAGCTTCGAGGAATCCAAGCTGCACAACACCATGAGACCTCGTTCATCAAGTTTTACCCCACTCCTACCGTGGGCTTCAACTTGGGCGACATCGCCACCGAAGACATAGCAGACGCAAGTTGGTCCACTCTAGATGGACTGGATCAAACTCTTCAGGCTGGTTCAGAAGTAAAGTTCATTTTATCCCCAAAAACACCTGATGGATAAAATAAGTAGCCAGCCTGATCTCAAACAGCAAATTGAAGTTCTCATACAACCAGAGAAAGATGTCATACAAGTCACTGTTTGCAACACAGACAACGGGAGATTCGAGGTGAAATTTATACCCAAAGTACCCGGTGCTTACAGCATTGAAATGAAGATTAATGGAGATACACTCGCCAACTCTCCGTTCACTGCGGCGGTGAAAGAGCGTGAACTTACTGTGGTCGGTAAGTTGGATCTGAAGTTGTTAGAAGGAGAACGCGTCGACGATCTTTTTGGAATCGCGGTAAATACGAAAGGCAATATTGCTGTAACTGACAATGGTAAAAACTGTGTTTACATATTTGATAAAAATGGTAAATGTCTGAGAAAAATTGGAGCTAAAGGGGAATTTGCAGCCCCATCTGGCCTGACATATTTGAACGATGACGAGATTTTGATTGCAGACAGAAATAACAACAGAATACAACAAATTAATATCCAGACAGGAACTATTGTGAAAACTTTAGGGAAAAAAGGGGTAGGAATAGGAGAGTTTAATCACCCAATTGATGTTTGTTTGGATGAAGAACGTCGCATTGTTGTAACCGAGACTTCGAGTAATAGGATACAGGTGATGTCACGTGAGGGAGAGACTATTTCCATCTTTGAAAACATCGGCCGAGAAAAATTTGGAATACCGTGGAGCTGCCTGCCTTACAAAAAAACAAGTTTTTGTCTCCGATAGCGAAGATCGTTGCATTAAGGCTTTCGACAAGTCAGGAACATTCTTACACAAGTTTGGCAAACTAGGGAATTAAGATGGACAATTTAACAACCCGAAATGTTTGCTTATAGACAGCTTCAATAATCTTCTGGTTTGTGATAAGTTCAATAATCGAGTTCAGCAGTTTTCTCTGGACGGTCGCTTCACCGGTAAAAGTATCACTTATTTACCTTATCCTCGTGGAATAGCAGCAACACCAGATGGACGTATTCTCGTGACTACCACTAAAAAGATTTTCATATTAAAGTAGCTGTTTCAATAGACACTTATTTGCTTCGCAGGTTGTATTCTACTTCTAATGACCCGAACTGTTTCTTTCCTAATGTGCAATAATCGGAGACTAGAATTTGTAAGTTTATTCTTCTTCTCGAAGAAGCTTTGTCAAATACAACTGAACTAATTAGCTTTGAGATTTTAAATTTGGTTTGCTGGTGGCGTTTATGCATATTCGTAATAATGTAGCACATGTAAATATTAAAGGATTCTGATTGTCAAAGAATATTTTGCATTTAATACGTCGCGTTAAATACATTATTTTCTTTCGATAGCTTAGCAGTAATTGCATACATATTTCTTTCTGCTATTAGAAAAGGCGTACGTATCAGGTGCTGAAATAGACGAGTACTATGTGACATCCAGCTCTTGTTAGGCCTCGCTCCCGGAAAAAGAAACCAACAAAAAACTAAACCCTTTTTGACTTTGCAAGGTTGAAGGATAACTTTTTGAAAGTTCTAATTGTCTCATTACTTCAAGGTGCCTGTAAGACTGTTCTTAATTGTTCTTCCCATTGTTGCATTGAAAAAGAGGAAATGGAAAGAGGATGTTTTTTAGACATCAAAATCTGCCTTTATTTTGCAGATGGTCATCAGTGAAAATAAATGCTAATGGATTAAAACACATTCAACAAACAAAGAAGCCTTGACTGTGCTTCGTTCTGTAGTAAAGCAAGTAGGAAGCGGCTAGAGCAAATAAGAATTGTAGAGAGAAACACGAGACGTAGGGGAGCAATTGAGTGAATAATCTGATTGATTGTATGAGACCACTGGTCTTATTCAACCAAACAGATTATTCTCTCAATTGAAAGCTTTCTAAACTGTCAAAACTTTTACAATCTGTAGGTTGGATTCAACACTATGACTTCTGCTTGAAGCTTTTTTTTTTCTTAATAAAGAATCTGAAAGTGAAACGTTCATGAAATCCGGCTTCCTGGAATTCTCTGGCCGCAGGAGAAAGTATCCAAGAGAAGTCTCGAGGTGGATTTATACGTTTTAATAAACAAGGTTAAGAGTGCTGACAACACTTCGGTTTACGAAAATTATAAGAGGTGTGTTTCCGGACACGTTGTTATACTTCTGTAGTCGAAGCTCAGATTACACGATTGCGTAATGTGAGTCCCAGTCCCCGACACCGGCTGAATTGTGGCTCATGTAAACACGCAAGTTTTTTAGCATGACAATGATAAAAGAAACCACTCACGGCGTGTGTTTTTATGAATGAACGACAACATGAAGATTTCTCGGGGTGAGAGCGCCGTAAAACTCGGCTGCCGTGACTGATGTGACCTTCCACTCAACTAATTGGAAAGGTCGTTTTGTTTTCCTACTTGTCGACGGCAATATCTAAAAAGTGAATGCTTACTGATAGCTCCAGTGAATAAACTGTCTTAGATATATGACACTCTCCAGACGATACCCGATCAACTTCGATTTCAACTCAGTCAAATTAGCTTCCGTTTTAATGGTCAGGGCCCAGTTGTATGAAGGGCTGATAACACTATCCAACGAATAAATCGCTATGCAGCGGATAAGCGATAGCAAAACGTATAGCGTTATCCACCGGATAGAGATTTATCCAGTGGACAGTGTTATTCGACCTTCGAACAACCGGGGCTTAGAGGTTATCGCTGACATCGATGTCTCTTTTCAACATCCTGCGCAACAATTAATTGAAGGAGTATCTGCCATCCGCTTATCAAAACTTCCTCACCTTATTTAGATATCGACGTCTATGGGGCACCAAAAACTGTCTCATCTCTATACACGTTTACACGTGGGTGTTCTGGAAAACGCACAGGCCACGAACGAAAAACTTCTGAAGCTTTTCATATCAGGCGGCAATCGGTTTGCCATAGGGAAAATCCCTCAGGAGTAACGCATCGTCGTTCCCGGCTCGTTTCCCCTTCTCGTCATGTTAGTGTGAGAAATGGCGAGACCCTGGGAACCATGTTGGGGGCTGTAGTATAGAAGTTAAATAAAAGCGTTGCTGGTCAATCATTTGACGAACTATCCCCACAAGAAGCTCGCCAGTAAGTCCACTGTTAACAATATTTTGCATAAAAAAAAATCCTTACACCGTCATAACCCTGGAAACAAGGAACGGCACACAGTACTAGTAGAGCCCCATCGGCCATACAATGACCACGGAATACATCATTATCAGTTGTCTAAACATTAACCCGGCTTTACATCCTAACATCAGTCTACATATTCTACTTACTGTTCTTTATACATTTCCTAAGGTGCTGACAAGGAGAATATGTTTAATAATCAAACGCTTCCCTAGTTGGTGATCATTTCTTGTATTCTCGTGTCCGTAATGTTTAAATCAGGGGTGATATTATAAGGAGAAATTAGATGTTAGTCACTCTTAAAGGTCAATGAATTAATGAGGAACAGCTCCACACTTCAATTTACGACTTAAAAACGTAAGCGAGAATTCGAAGTCAGTAATGCGTGAAAACATGCAAACAAACAAAACAAAAAGAAATCTTATCGGTCATGATCTTCTACAACAAAAGCGTAACTGCGTGATGATAGCCCAGTTTCTAAATATATTTAGCTTCAGTTCATAAGGTCACTCAACTACATCCTGTTTTTCTCGAAATTTCAAATAATAGCTTTTTCAGGCTGTGTTTACCAGCAATCTTGTTGAACGCTGACAATGGAGTCCTTCTTGAGAAATCTCACTAAACAGGTTACTTGCTCAGTTTGTCTCGAGACCTACAAAGAGCCGAAAATTATATCGTGTTTTCACACGTTCTGCTGTGATTGTTTAGAAAAACACGCAAGAGTGAGCCAAAGGCATGGAAAATTCCGATGCCCCGAGTGTCAGGCAGAAATCCACTTGCCAGAAAGAAATCGCTTCGAAGCGTTGCCAACCAGTTTCTTTCACAACAGTTTGTTGAATATACTTGCCGTTCGGCAAAGTGGCGATGGAACAAACGTCACTTGTGGCAACTGTAAGAAGACCAGCTCCAATGTCCATTACTGCTTTGATTGTGCCCGATTCATGTGTTCCGACTGTCTTAACGCACATGAAATTATGCGCGACTCCTTTGAGGGACACAAAGTCATGCCTGTTAAAGACTTCCAAGATCAAGATTACGAGGCTTTGTTAAAGCGACAGCCCTTTTGCACCAAGAAGTACCACGAGCGAGAGATGACGAGATTTTACTGCCTCCAGTGTCAGTGTTGTGTTTGCCATCTTTGCATCGTCACGGATCATCAAAGTCACAAAGTTCAATTGCTCGACGAAGCGGCTGACAACGAGAAAGGAAACATCATGGCGGATGCCGCAGAGAGCCGAACAAGGGAAAAAGATTTAAAGGAAACGCTTCAACAATTCCAAAACACAGCAAACAGCCTGCAAGAAAATGCCCGTGTCGCTAAACGAGGAGTCTCTCAAGCAGCCGAAAAGATGATCGCAGATATTCGAGAGCGCGAGCGGAAAGCCATTGAATCAATCGACACAACGTGCGTGACGAGACTCCAAAAAATCAACTCGGCTCGACAGGCAGTAGAATCTCTGATGAAGCAAAACAACAAAGTCGCCGACTTTGCCGAAAACTTGGTACAGAAAAGCTCGAGCTGGGATATCATGCAAAACAAGCACAATTTGAAACAGAGATTTGAGGAGCTTCGAGGAATCCAAGCTGCACAACACCATCAGACCTCGTTCATCAAGTTTTACCCCACTCCCGCCGTGGGCTTCAACTTGGGCGACATCGCCACCGAAGACATAGCAGACGCAAGTCGGTCCACTCTAGAGGGACTGGATCAAACTTTTCAGGCTGGTTTTGAAGCAAAGTTCATTTTATCCCCCAAAACACCTGATGGCGAAATAAGTAACCAGCCTGATCTCAAACAGCAAATTGAAGTTCTCATACAACCAGACAAAGATGTCACACAAGTCACTGTTTGCAACACAGAAAACGGGAGATTAGAGGTGAAATTTATACCCAAAGTACCCGGTGCTTACAGCATTGAAATGAAGATTAATGGAGATACACTCGCCAACTCTCCGTTCACTGTGGCGGTGAAGGAGCGTGAACTTATTGTGGTCGGTGAGTTGGATCTGACTTTATTAGAAGGAGAACGGGTCGACGATTTATTTGGAATCGCGGTAAATACGATAGGGAATATTGCCGTAATTGACATTGGTAAAAACTGTGCTTACATATTCGATAAAAATGGTCAATGTCTGAGAAAAATTGGTCTTGAGCAATTTCGAGACCCACTTGGCGTGACATATTTGAACGATGACGAGATTTTGATTGCAGACGCTGGTAACGGTAGAATACAACAAATTAATATCCAAACAGGAACTGTCGTGAAAACTTTAGGAAGAGCAGGTGTAGGAAAAAAGTTTTCATATTCCTTGTGATGTTTGTTTGGATGAAGAACGTCGCATTGTTGTAACCGAATTTTGGAATAGTAGGATACAGGTGATGTCACCTGAGGGAGAGACTATTTCCATCTTTGGAAACATCGGCCCAGAAAAATTAAACAAGCCAAAGAGCTGCTTCCCTTACAAAGACAAGTTTTTCATATCCGATAGCGGAAATCATTGCATTAAGGCTTTCGACAAGTCGGGAACATTCTTACACAAGTTTGGCAAACAGGGCAATCAAGATGGACAATTTGACAACCCATATGGTTTGCTTATAGACAGGTTCCATTGCCTTTTGGTGTGTGATCAGTTCAATCATCGAGTTCAGCAGTTTTCTCTGGACGGTCGCTTCACTGGAAAAAGTATCACTAATTTAAGTAATCCTCGTGGAATAGCAGCAACACCAGATGGACGTATTCTCGTGACTACCCCTGAAAAGATTTTCATATTAAAGTAGCGGTTTCAATAGACACTTATTAACTTTGCAGTTTGTATTCTACTTCTAATGGTCCGAACGTTTTCTTTCCTTAAGTGCAATAATCGGAGACTGCAATTTGTAAGTTTATTCTTCTTCTCGAAGAAACTTTATCGAATACAACTGAACTAATTAGCTTCGAGATTTTCAATTTTGTATGTTAGTGGCATTTATGCATATTCGTAATAATGTAGCAAAGGAAAATATTATAGGATTGTGATTGTTAAAGAATATTTTGCACTAAATACGTTGCATTATGAACATTATTTCCATTCGATAACTTAACAGTAATTACATATATATTGCTTTCTTCTACAAGAAAGGGTGACACGTGTCAGGTGCTGAAATAGACGAGTGCCATGTGACATCCAGTTCTTTTAAGATCTCGCTCCCCTTATAAAAAATAAATAAACACACAGACACAAAAACAACCACTTTATGCGATTGCGTGACTTTATAAGGTTAACCCTTTAACTCCCAAGATCTGACTGTTAATTCTCCTCTCTTGCTGCTACACATTTCCTTGTAAATATGCAACAAGGGTTTGGTGTTATAATGTGGATCACGATAACAATTTCTATCTGATAAGTTTGAATATTCTCATCACCTGTTTGCTGGATAATTTTTAGATATTATAGTGAGAAGTTACATGTGAATCACTTCCGGGTTAAAGAATAACTTTTTTACAATTCTAATTGTCTTCTTACTTGAAGGTGCTTGTAAGACTGTTCTTTATTGTTCTTCCCATTGCTGTAGTGAGAGAGAGGGATTGGAGAGAGGATGTTTTTGAGACATCAAAATATGCCTTTATTTGGCAGATGGACATCAGTGAAAATAGATGCAAATAAATCAAGACATATTCAACATATTCGAATGTGCTCTGTTTTGTCGTAAAGCACATAGGAAGCGGCTAGAGCACGAAAGAAGTGTAGAGGCAAATCCGAGACGTAGTCGAGTGTCTCAACTTCTTGAGTGCAACTGAGAGTATGATCTGCTGGTCTTATTCAATCAATCAGATTATTCTGTTAATTAAAAGCTTTCAAAAATGTTCAACCATCAGCAAGGTTGATCTAATGCGAATTACAGAATTCTAGAAAAATGTGAGCGCAGCGCATTTATATTACTTGTTCACCAATCGAACAGTGTTCCACTGTGAAAAAGTATTCCTGTTCTCGTTCGGTGGTTCCACCAACAGAAAATAAACCAATGTTCAACTAATTCAGTGAAATTAACTTGACCAAGATTTTATTTCAAAAAAAAATTTATGATTTTAGCTATAGCCAGACTTTTTTTTTTTTCTCTTAACAGCTCCTGGTAGCCGCTGACACCAGATCTAAGACAAATATGGAGACAGCTTCCCAGCTAAATGAACGCTACAAGACTGTACAGCCGATAAACGTAGACTACTGTAACACAGGTTAAGACAGGGGTCACCTCAATCCAAACTTCTATCAATGTGGAAAAGGAAGAACAGCAACTTTTACCTTGACAAATGCCGTTTCAAGATCCCTGCTTTAACCAGCAGTCGTGGAAGAAAATGGAAGAGGTTGCTTTGAAAACAATGAGGAAAGATTGCTCTTTTCCCGGCGCTAGACGTTATTTTGTGACGGGAATTGTTTAGCAGGGAGTACGAATTCCAAACAGAGAACATGACCTGGAAGGCTCAGGTTAATTAAGGCCTGGGTCACCCTGTCTTTAACCCATATTTTCACAAAATTGAGAATAACTTAGCTATTTTTCGAGGGATTTTTCTCATACTTGGCAGAAATGTGTATCACTACCCTCTCTCTCGGACTGAATTGTGGCAGCGTAATATGATACTCTCAACAGCCAAAAACAGTTAATTTAGGCGCCAAATTCGTCGGTTGCTTTCTTGAGCAAATTCCCACCATTAAACACGAGGCAAATCAAAATGCAGTTATCGCTATGAATGGCTGCAAAAAAAAGAGAGATGTGCTAGGCAGATTAAATCAAGTTTTGTCTCTGCGAAGCTGCTTCCGCTATTATGGTTTTCGCCCGAAAACATCTTAGCCTTTACCTGGTTCCAACCGCTATCAACGAAAGTAATCCCACAGGTTCCTATTTATTTGGAAAAAAGACAAATTAAAACTGTTTAAGAGGTGGGAATTTTGAAAACTCGCAGTCACGTAATTCAACTTAGTGTCCGCCATTTTGACACGCGAGTCACGCGAGTGTTCAGAATGATTTAACGGCTGAATAATTTAACGAACTGCTGATACAAAGGAATTCTACCAAATACTAATTGGAGCAATCTCAGAAGTAATACAGGCAAACTTTGTATACTTTTGGTGATATTTATTTCTTTTTCTCGTTTTCTGAGGTCGATCGCATCTCTGTAAATCCAAGGTTAGATCGCCTTTGACAGTTCTAATAAAACACAATTGCAATTTTGGCGCAAAACTTGAAAGTTATCGCACTGATTCCTTGAAACTCTTCAAGGTTTTGTTCCCTAACAACGGTACTACTCGATAACGAGCTAAGTGTATTCGTGTGAAACGAAAATGTCTGTCATTTTTAATTGTGCGGGATTTGCAAGAGTTGCTGTAAAGGAGAGCTTTCGTAAGGTTGGAAGTGCTTCGGTTGAAACTAACCCTAGTGAAAAGTGGAAGAACTATCTTGCAGCGTTCGAGGGTGACAGTCAGGAAGTCTTTGCGGTCGAACGTTCCACCTACGTCAAGAAATCCAAAGCAATTTACAGCTCTTTCCGAAAGATGAACTCAAAAGCCAGGGCCCAGTACCAAGACACGTTTTCAATGGTAAACTGGAAAGCGCTTAATACAGCGCAGAAGAAACAGCACACACTGTCAAATTGTGGAGGTTGTCAAGTGCACTATTATGCCATCCATAATTTTTTTCCCAAGTGGAGAAACTTTCAAAACCCGAAAACTTTTAAAAGAGGCCCTTATTGAAAGTGGGGTGAAGACACAAAGTAAAAGTGAAACCAACGCAAAAAGCCATTAAAACTGCTGTAAAACACATTTATTCAAAAGTGAATGGCCACTTTGAGAAAATATTTAAAATAAGCCTTGCTGAAGCACAAACAAAAGTGAAGGAACTTCAGCTCCAAAAAAAAAAAAAAGAGGCAATTGAGAAAAAGCGGCAGCGTCGAGGGAGAGCACGCCAAGAAAAAAAAAAAAATCCAATGCTAATGTCTAGTCCATCTGGAGGAGGAGTAATGTTTCTACTTACTTTGCAGTAATTTGCATGCCAAACAATGAGATCAACAATCTTCACCTTTACTTGTGTTGCAATCTAGCATTTATTTAAGCACACTCTGTATAATATATTTGCCTTCATTTTCCAGTTTTTTAAAAGGAATGCAAGTACCAAATAATCCACTGTAAACTTAATCAATCATACTGAACTTCTTCCAACCAATGAAGAGAATATAATACTGGGAGAAGGATCCTATGGTCGATGCCTTCTGAGACAGTACACACGATTTGATATAAAGGTTGTGGAAAAAACAGTCTCTGATGCAGGACACCACAGAGATAATGAAGGAGGCTCACATTATGCAGGCACTCGCACATAAAAATATCCCAACCATAATAGGTGTGCAGCTTCAAAAGCAGCCCATTTCCTTAATAATGGAGTTTAAAGGGGAAGAAAATACATCTGTAACAATAAGCAAACTATTATCTTGTCAGAAAAACAGTGCAACAATACAGAATGTGCAAAGCTCACTCATAACAAATGACTGGTTAATTATTTCACATGATTTGACAGAAGCCCTTTCACATATTCACACAAAAGGCTTTCTTCACTGTGATTTGAAGGCTAATAATTTTCTTGTGAGTAACAAACATGGCTACATCATCGATTTTGGAAAAGCTTGTGACAGCTCCTTTCCTCCTGCAAAGAATTAATGAAGCCAGTGATATTTTCTCCCATGGTAAAATTCTGTTTAAAGTAGGTGTTAAGCAAAACATTCCACTTTTGGTTTCCATGGCTCAAGAATGTTTGGATGCCAGCCCTGTAAGAAGACCAACAACAACAGGCATTATGGCAACACTGGCTTCCATAATATCTCACTGAATACTATAAGCTTAAGCAGGGGCTGGGCAAATTGACTGGCTGGGAGCATAATTTTTCCTGCATGTTGTGACTGACATAAATCAGAATCAAAACATATTTTGCCTGCTTCCTTGTACATTTCCCATCACCTCAAAATCTTAATGAAACCTCTGCTTAAGAAAGTAATAATTAACACTCTAATCAGGTAAAGTGACCCTAGCCATGTCACGGCAGGAGTCTTTTTATTGGGCTTTGCAAGGTTAAAATTATAATGTATGTGCATGTCTTTAGCAAGTTTATGTGTGCTCTTGGTCTAAACTAATTTTGTACTTCTGCTTTACGAATTGTGAATGAATGTTAGAGGGACATTTTTAATAATGCACAGATAAGGTGCTCTAGGGTCCATCAGGTACAAATTACTTCATAGGTCATACTCATGTCTATAATTTTACATCCCTGCTAGATAACATACATGTACCAA